TGATCTACAGATGGGTCTACAGGTCCACTGATCTACAGATGGGTCTACAGGTCCATTGATCTACAGATGGGTCTACAGGTTCAATGAGCTACAGATGGGTCTACAGGTCCATTGATCTATAGATGGGTCTACAGGTTCAATGAGCTACAGATGGGTCTATGATGTGGATTAACAGATGGACTGGAGAGGCTTCGGGGTTTTACCTGCATCCACGTCAGCTGGTTTATGGAAGAAGTCCAGAAAGCAGGAAGAGAGAAAACATGAAGCACAACCAGATGAAAGATGCAGCCAAACCTCAATCTCATGCAGCAGTCAGAACAAAGGAGGAAATCAGAACCAGAAATGATCAGAAGCAGGGGGAACCAGAATCTGTACTTTATATGGGTTGTTCCTGGTCTCCATGGTTGACACATGAGGACCAGGTCCTGGGATCAGTTTCACCTTAAAGCTGACAACAGGAACTGTTTTTTTCCTGCTAGAACCAGAACTTTTTAACTGATTAAAAACCTGCAGTAGTGCCCATTTTCCCTAACATCCAGAACGATCCCATACAGCCAGAACCAAAAGGTTTGCGTCCAAATTTAATAAATAAAAGTGAAGCTTATTGTCTTGAAGTAGTTCTTTGTTTCTATCCTGACTGTTCTAAGATGAAGCGTCTCTGAAACAGAATTTAATTTAGAAACTTTCCACAGATTCAACAATAATTCATGGAATTAACAGAAATAAACCTGGAATTTACAAAATAAAAGCTTGGCCAGAATAAAAAAATATAATGGTTGTGTCAAAATAAAACAACATAACCTGGACAAACACCCAGAACCTGAAGATGGACCGTCACCTGGACATGAGGGGACACGACGTGACAGAGAGGGGATGAAGAAACATGAGGGGACATGAAGAGACAGGGGAGGGATGAAGGACACATAGGACAAAGAGGACCTGAATGACCATGAAGGGACATGAAGGGACAGAGAACAAGAAGAGACAGAGGGGGATGGAGGACACAAAGGTACAGAGAGGACATGAAGGGAGAGACATGTAGGACAGAGGAGACATGAATGGACTATGAGACATGAAGAGATAGAGAAGACATGAAGGGACAAAGGGGACATATAGGACAGGAGACATGTAGGAAGTGGGTACATGAGGGGACATGTAATTCAATTAATTTCAATTCAGTTTATAAAGTGCCAAATCACAACAAAGTTGTCTCAGGGCACTTTACAGGAACATTCACATACATAGAAAAGACAAATTGTCCCCTCAGAGTATGAATCTTCCCCTCAGAGTTTGAGTCGTCCCCTCAGAGTTTGAGTCGTCCCCTCAGCGTTTGAATCATCCCCTCAGAGTTTGGGTTGTCCCCTC